ATTGACAGCAACATACATGCACATCTATGAATTTGAGAAACTAGCAAAGGAGTAATAAGAAACATAATTGGACCGTGATGCAACAATTTGGTTTCACAAATATGTTGTTAGGTCGCCTAACATCCATACTTTTTTTTTTTTTGAAAAATAAAAAATAAATACATACTTATACTACAAAATGTTATACTTTTGTGTATAATATAACTCAAATTGAAGAACATCGAAATGCACGGTTCACCCCTTTTTTTGGTTCCGTCTTTCCATTTGTATTTATTTGGTGCAATTTGGTGCAAAATTGCATCAAAACAGTTAAAACCAAATGCCTAAACTCGTGAAAAATTATATTCGAACAACAACATAGTACTAAAAATAAATTGAATCAATCGAATACATTTTTTTAACCCTGAAAAACCAAAGTGAACCTCGAATTTTCGATTTCAACTCGATTCAACAATAACTCGAAAATGCGCCATTACACATTTTTTGAATTTTCAGGCTTTCTTTTCTTCCCATAGACATAGAGAAAGTAAAATAGAGGCACAATTTATTATTCAAGTATTCGTTTTCATGCACATATGCAAATATACTTTATAGTTTATATGTGTGTGTATGTAATATTTAAAATCATAAGTTAGATAATAAGCCTATCACATTTCATAAATTTTAGTATTAGTAAAAAATGAACGATATAGATATAAACTATTTAACTTACATATGAATTTTTCTTATATTGATTGCAATAATTTAAATCTTGCAATCTTGAATGGTTATGACTGATGTGCTATTGCACACTGGACCGGCCTTCCTTGATCTCCAACCTTCTGAGCCCTCGGACCTGCAAGGACGCCGGGAGATGTTCCCGACGGTAAACCTCCGACGCTCAAGTTAGTAGAGTATCAACGAAAGCGCAGTATGTATTTAGGGTTTTTGTAAAAGTAATAACTCATACCTCCTGTAACACAAGACCCACCTATTTATAGGTCACTTTCTTGCTTTCTTTGTACGCTTTAACCAGATCGTTATTGGGCCAAGCCCATATATTAACACCCCTGTTCAATCAAGTCACATCCGAGCCCAACCATATCCATAATAGGATTGATAATGGGCCGAGCATGCGATTGCCCAATTTCATCGGCTTAGTCAATCGTATCTGCTCGGTTCATGAACCGAGCCGATCTCTTGCGGTCTACCTAAATGATCCATTATGCTATATCAATGACCAATTAATTAAATAAAATGATATTAGAATTATTATTATAGCAGTTGTGTATAAATTTTAATGGTGTAAACATTTAAAAAAACAAAAATAAAAAAAATAAAATAAAAATTGGTTTATGTTAACTTATTAGTAATAGCAATTTCTATCTTAAATGAGTAATGTTGCTATGGTTCAGTCTAAATTAGCTTCAAATTAGTGTTTTAAATACCGTCTGGTAATCATAACAGACAAATTACCGGTACGCAGTTCGATCATTTGTTTCACCGGTTTTAATAAATAGTAAATTAATATATTATATAATATAAATAATATATAAAACTAACATTAATAAATATTAAAATTAACTAAAATCTAATAACAATATAAATATATTCAAATTAAATATAGAACTTTCAATTTATATAAATAAATCAATAAAAATATGTTATATGTATATATATATATATATATATATATTTTTTTTTTTTTTTTCTAATTTGGTATACCAAATATATTTTAACATGTATTTTAGCCGGTATATCCCATTATAAATCAGTATTTTGGCCAAAAAAGTATATTTAAGGTAACCATACCGGCCGAACCCCCAATATTCGGTAACTGTAATACCGGTCGGTATGATACATTATTTAAAACAATGATATATATATATATATAATTACTGGCATGTAGCATTTAATAAAACATTTAATAAAACTTCTAAAAATTTCTCTCAATTTTCGGTTACAAAATTTGTCATTAATATTTTTTACTTCTCACATTAATACATCTTAATGAGTGTAATCGTGTATGTTTCTATTATATTATATAATAATTATTGCTAATACCAACTAATAATAATTCACAATAAATATAAATTACATAATTATAAACAATTGTTTCAAGTTATGTATTTTAAAATCAATGTTATCTTTTTCTTTTGTGTCTCATAAAAAAAAATTCTAAAAATAATTAGCAAATTGTTTTAATAGCATAGTTAAACAACTTTAGAATCATATAAATAATTATTTTTTTTAATAATATATATATATATATATATGTGTGTGTATAATTGCTAGCTTAGCATTTAATTTTATCTATTTAAGAAAACCTCTAAAATTTTCTCTCTATTTTCAGTTACAAAATTTATCATTAATATTTTTTTACTTCTCACATTAACACATCATATTAAGTGTAATCATGTATTTTTCTATTATATTATATAATAGTTATTGCTAATACCAACTAATAATAATTCACAATAAATATAAATTACATAATTATAAACACTTGTTTCAAATTATTTATATTAACATCAATATTATCGTTTTCTTTTGTATCTCATGAAAAAATTTCCTTAAAAACAATTAGTAAATTGTTTTAATAGCATAGTCAAACAACTTTAGAAGCTTATAAACAATTGTTTTAATAATAATAATAATCATACTGTTATTATCTAATGATAATAAACAATTGTTCATAATAATAAAATCGTTAATTTATTTTTTCTAATGATCAATTTTTTGAGAATTTTAATATTAAATTCTCAAATATTACTCACTAATATTTTATGTATGTGCATATGCACATGCTGAAATTATATTGCAAGTTTATTAGGTATGCTGCCATGAGCAATTTATATGTTTAAAAAAAATAAAAACACATGTGGACAAAAAAAAA